AATATCCGATCTGAGCTTACACAGTTGTATATGTTGGATAAGTATTATTTAAATATTCTGTCACTCTTGGAAAGCGCGCCATTAATTTCCGCTAATTTTCGATATCTTCCCTTAACATTCGTAAATAGAGTTCTCAAATCTCCATCGAGTTATAAAAAGTGGGTCCGATAATTTGCTTAACTCGCAAATATTTTTCCGAATTTTGTACCGACCCGTGTTAGTTTTTTTATTGAACCTTCTTGCTGTGGTGAAAGTGGATTTGTCCATTCATAAAAGCCGTGAATCATTATCCAAGATTTGGTAAATTTAAAATGTAAATCGATAACACCTTCACGTATTTGGCTAAACAGGCTGTTGAAGAACCCTGCATAAATAATACAAAAGGATATTTAATTCCTCATGAAGATTTAAAACGCAATGCCTAGTTTTACTCTTTAAAGTCTCGTTTCTTTGGATAAATTTCCTTGAGTCTCATTTTACATGGCATGTGCCCTCTTTCTTAGTGTATTTTTATCATTTTTTATACGACGATCATTCGAATTTTTCGTCAAGTGAAAACATTGTTATAATTATTCTGGCCTTAATGTAAAACGTAACTGTAAAATCTTATATATTTTTGAAATCAGCGTGAAGCATAAAAATTAAAAAAAATATATTGATTTATTATGCTTTTTTAGTACATCTTGTATATAAAAAGGCAAGGAGACCCCGTATCATCTGCTCACCGGGTGCCCTGCTTTGACATGGGCAAGATTGGGAGTCTTCGGAACGGCCCTGATCGATCCGGACTCAGTGCACGGTATTGGGCTAAAGGAGTTGCTGACCTTCTATAGGAGGGGCGGCATTCTGGACGCCCTCTAGAGCGGCCTGGGGGCACAACGGGCCCATCTGGTGGCCTAAGTGCTTGGTCGCCCGCGAGGGCGCCCCCCTTTAATACCAATACCAATACCAATATAAAAAGGCACGTAATATTAAATACAAACATTAAACCCTACAACCTTTGTATGTTTTTTTGTCTAAAATGTATAATTAAAAAGTTAGTTATTATTTACAATTACTTCAAGTTGCTAATTTAAGAAAAAATATGCGAGGTAAAACTGGTCCTTACTGGTTCAAAATGTTTTTTTTTTATTTTGCTTGTTATGTTATCATTACTTATTAAATATTATATCTTAATGCTTACATTTTAAATACTTAATTGTTAACAGCTTACAATTTCAGCAATGTTCAGTAGTTCTAAACAAAATGGCTAGTGAAAAAAATAGCTGACAACCATAAACACACCGTAATAGGCAATTTTATTACACTCCATGTGATTTATTCAAGTGACTTATATCTTGGTACTCTGTGTAGTGCCGTTAATAAATCATTAAAAAAAAGAGGCTATGTAGGCAGGCTAAGTACTTAATTGACTACAATTTAGAAAAGAAACAGATATTTATCGTTACACGTATAATGGCGCTAATAACAAATCTAAATGAAACTTCTGCGGTCAAGATAATTGTCTGCCTGTACCAGATAGAATCTTGTGGTTATTTTCCACTGCGGGTTTTGAGCGGTCTATTTTTAAACGGTGTAAACCGAGTGAATAAACAGATCGTCTTTATGGTGGACCGATTAAGTTTAAATAAGAAATTTGTGGTTGTTATACAACTACCGATATATCGATAAGTATAATATTTACTCCTCCGTGCGTAGCACAGGAATGAACTGTCTACTAAAACGTTTGCAAGCATGGAGGAGGAGATATATTAAATTATGAATGAAGGCAATTTTAATTTGTATTAATAAATAATTTAGAATGATATTACTTAATGTTTGTTTGAATGTCATTGACCAGAGGTGGCCAGGTTCCTTGATAGAGTCATTAAATAAAAGTACACAATTTGTATATTGAATTTATATATTTAAAAAAATTAATTTATTTTATTTCTCTTAATAATTCTTCAAAATTCGTTGAATAATTTGGTTACAGCGCTTCTCAGTAATTCCTTGAGATGGTGGTTACTTAATACTGATCGGTGTTGGAATTCACAGACTTTAAAGTACGTTGTTTCGAATATTGAAATTATTCGACAAACAACCTTGTTCAGTAATCGGCGTCAATTGTAGAGCTTCATCTTCTTGCATCTCTATTAAATTCTGATTTTCCAGATGTAATTTATGGTATTTATGGTCATAATTATATCGGAAATAAAAAATTCACCCCAAATTATGTTGAATCAGAAAAAAATCAAGGGACTATTTAAAATATTTTGCTTCTAGAAATTCATTTTGCAATTCCGTCAATACTCCTTCTGGCTTTTTCATACCCTAAGTTTTTCTTGTTTGACATTCAAAAAAAGTTTTGTTCAAGGAAAATGAAAAAATATTTTATTTTTAATGTTCTTTTGAAAAAGTCGTAATTTAGTTTGAAATTGTCTTCCTCGTTTTCATCACAGCAGTCAAATAAATTATTTTCGTCTTCGTCTAATTATAAACACTTTTTAAATGGTGGTGAACCAAACACCTCATGTATTAAGATTTAAAAATAAATTTTTTGCGTTTTTTAATATATTTATCAGTTTCCTTTGTTAAGAATATTATTTTTTTGCAGATAAACAAACACACAATGCAGAAAAATCTAAGACTCACAGTCATACATTTTACTATTAATATTGAACAGATTCGAGCTGTCCTCATCCTCAGACTAATGACTAGAAAGAAACGTTACTTTTGGTCAGTTTTCGTACACCTACTCAAAACAAAAAAAATACATATCCTTATCTTCAGAGTAATAAACTACAAAAATGAAATTAAGAACTTTTCATACTTATTTCTTTTGGTTATCGCTGTCACCACTAATTGTCATTACAGTAAAATTTGCGACTGCGGGTGTTCGAAGCGTTATCTGCATCCTGTTTGATCTATACCTATATCACGAATAGATTCTTAAGTTTAATTCCGTTAAAACAAAATCCAATAGAATGCAGAATAGATTTACCAACCTGTCATATTCAAACCTTCTCCATTTAACTAAAACTTTACAAAAAAGCAGCTCAAGCTGATCAAATAAACCTTTTTACATGACCAGACATTTTTCGGTTTTGTAGACCTGGCTCTAAAAATCTGTTTACTCCAATGAAAACCTTTTTTCTGATTTATCGAGAGTTTTTTTTCATTTTTATGAAAAATCAAGGAAAATAATTATTACAATTTCGCGTGGGTTTAAAATCAACACCACCATGGCCAAGATGTTTCTCGCAATTCAGGTACTTTAATTTAATCTAATAATTTTAAACAAGTCGTCTTTGTTCATTTCCGATACATAAAATACCAAAAACTATATTTAGACACCCAATCGTTTTACAGCTCTTACGACGTACCTACAATATATGTTTACCACTTTAAATTTAGTTGTCATAACTTGATCTGTTTTATTTGTTAACTTTACCCAACGGGGCATATGTTAACTATCATAATGAGCAGTTCAAATAAATCTAATCTAATGGTGTTTGTGCTCCAGTTCGTCGAGTTTAGTTTAGATGGATGCCCCCTCGCATACCCTTAATCGCATTTTATACTTATCCCAAGCAAAAAGGTACAAAGAAAACTGATTTTAAATCCGAAAAATATGTATAACCAAACAATACCTTGATTTAACAAGATTAGTTTATAGTGCTTGGTTTTATGTTTTTTTTTTTGGTTGGCTGTTTAAAAATAAGCTTTTTATTATATCCTCGATAAATTTTTGAAACCTTTCAGGAAGTCTTACTTCACACATATTTTTAATGTGCTTAATTTTTTATATTATGCTTTCTCCCGTTTATTTATTTATTTTTTATTTAAGTGGTATTTAGTGGTACCTTCTGATGCTAGCGGTAATTAAATGTACTCAGATCTAGTGCTGAAATCCTCCATCGTGTTAAACGGTTTTGCGCATCCAGTCAAATTGTAGCCCATGAAAATGGCCTTCAACTACCACGGAGAGTAGTGGTTTCGTAAAAAGATTTCAAGGTTAAAACCAGATCTTCATTCGCCTACTGAAAACCCTATTTGGACGACTGACGCAAGCCCGCGACGGCTTCGCAATGAATTCTCCATTAGTGCTATATTATCTGTTATATAATAAACCAATCTAGGAAATAAATTAATCAAATGAAAAGATGTCTGCACAATTTCTCATTTGGTTGTGCTAGTTCGATCCCCTGATAACTTTTTATTAGAAATGAAAATATGTCTTTTTCTATAACAGCAAGGACAACGAACGTCGTATTGTTTATCGCACAATCACAAAATTGAACAAACATGACTTTGTTAGTGCCCGAAGGAGAGATAAATAAGGGCTGGTGTATCAGATTCTAACCCAAGTTTTACTTACACGACGAAAATAATTACTTACAATTTAATATGCTTTAATACGAGTTTAAATTGATTATTTTTCGAGATTGGGTACGAAGTCTAGCTCAAATTCTCCGTTTTAGCTCACCCCACAAATGTTCGATCGGATTGAGATCGGAACTGCATGCTGGTCACTCCATGACTCGAAAACCGACTTAATGTAATCTTGCACGATCCTTGCTAGTATTGTCATGCATAAAAATGAATTCTTTTCCAATGTAGTCGACGTATGGTACCACGTGATATGATAAAATATCTTCGCACCTGTTAAACTTCCTGCCTCTTGACCACGGCCGCCCCTACGGATGAAAACAGGATCGGTTCTTGCGTACGTAGAAATTGCACACCATATCATACAGGAACCGCCTCCATAAGGGGTCCGCTCTTCATTGCAGCATTAGGCAAATCGCCCTCCCGGTCCTGTTTTTTTTCGTCGGTTACTACCAAAAAGGCATATTCTGATCTCATATGAGAACAGAACAGACCCCTATTGGTCCAATGTCAAACTTCATGGATCTCTTGTTGCACTTGAACCGCATTAAGGTGATGATTTCTTGTTATTGATAACACCATATAGCGGTCATGACGAGTCGTTGTATTTCGCTTTCTGCCTGTTGCAGGGCGCCGAGAGAAGCATCCAGTTTCATCATGCAGTTAGAACTGCTGCGCGTGTCATATCCAATTGTCGAGCAACAGCTCGCTGGCGAAGTCCACTTTCGATTAAAGCGATAACTTCAGAGGCTTTCTGTGATACTATCCAAATGGTTGAAAAACGAATAATGTTAAAATTCCAGTTGCAAGGGTGATTGATTCAAGTCTATAACAAGTTTGTTACTATCACTGTAGCTACTTGAACTTGAACTGAACACGTTCCATTTGATTAACCGTAGCTATAAACCCGTAGCATTTAAAAAATCAACACTCTTGACAAATTTAAACTCGTACTAAAGAATATTAAATTGTCTTCCGAATAGCATGTTTCTTTTTTGGATCAGATTAATAGTTTAAAGAAAAAAAAATTAAAAAATTAAAAAAAAATTACAGTGGGACGATTTCTACGCCCCCAAGTTTATAACTAATTTGATATGATTTATATATCTGAGCATCTTCTACCATAATGCCGAAAAAAAATTATATATTACACAAACAATCACTGCGCTATTGCGCATATTAAGCTTAACCAAAGGATGAGCGGAAATGCCTATAGCATCATTACTTTTCCAAAGCAATTTTTATTCGCTAACCAAAATGAAAAACTGTTGACCGTCTTCAACTTTATATACGTGACATTCTATTCGAACTGAATATTTCGAACCGCAGCCGCTGTAAAATTCATCAAGGAATTAATCTTAAAAAAAACCAACAACCGCCATACATTTTTTATTCATTTTTTTTTTCTGTTTCTGGTCGTTTACTTGTTTACACGGGTTAAGTGTGACGCCCTGCCAAGATAAATTTCCGGTCTTTAATTAGACCAGATTTAACCTATTTATTCGAAACATATAATAATGTACATAATTTATTTTGACAAAGTACTGAAATCCGCACACGGTGAAATTTCTGATTTATTTTTCAGATTTTAATATTAAACAGCGTTCCTTTTCTTGATTTCGTTTACTTTCGTTGAAGTTTTTATTATACGACCTGTTCCATTAACAAATATGTAAAATGCCTCGCTGGAGAATTCTAGTCTGGAAAGGTGTATTTTACGAGATCGATTAAAACCAATAATCAATCAATGGTTGTAACCGTTTAATGTACAAGCTGACTCGTTTATCGTGGATCTTATTTTACCTCAGAAAATATACGAGATAACGGAAAACTTTAATACAACACAATATACGGGTCTGGTATATTTTAAAAATGGTGTCAGGTATATAGGTTTTCGAGTTTGGCTCTATTGAACTAAAATATTTCGACAAAACAAAACATCGTTATCTTAAATTGCATTCACTAAATTTCGTGTCTATTATTTTTGCTTAATACTTTCTATACTCTATCTAGTGCAGTTTTCGAACATGGTAAACAGGGTAAATTGTAGAGTGCGAGAACTTCGTAAATTAGACATAAAGAACGCGGGGTAGTTTAAAATTTGCGATCCTGACCTAACACAAAAACGCTAACTTATTTTCTGAAATCTGAAAGAAAATCTCTTCTAAAATAGAATAGAATACTTTATAGACAAGTAGTAAGGTTTTAGCAATAATTCTAAAAATCAGTGGTGATTTTTAGGCAATTTTGAAGTTTTCAAAATGACACTTCTCACTCAATTTTTACTTAAAATAAGGCAAATCGCGGTTTTAATGCAATTTTTAATTATCTTTTGATAAAATATTGTTATGTAGCGATTCAATTTTTTAATTGTTTCCCATCGCAACCGTGGAAAATGCCAAATGAACTCTTACGTCAAATACGACGATGATATCCCGCAATATTTTTTTACTTATATCACAAAATTTTCACGTGAATGTTTTGGCGTATTTATTTGCTCTTGTAGTCCTAACCGTCCGTGTGAACTTCTGCAACTCATAAAACTAGACAGCATGGCGTCCCATGGCTAAATCGTACAAACATGTCAAGATAACATGGTTTTTGGAATTATCGCAGTTAAATACCACTTCAAAAAAGTATGCTTAGATCAATTTTGTGTATTATTTTTTATTATTTGTAGATTTATTCATTTATTTCACGGCAATAATCAATTTAAAACAATCTAGTTTCTATGCGTCTCCAAGCAAGCACACATTTTTTATTTCAGCAGCTGAAATGTTAATAACGAGATGAAATTAAAAAAATAACAAATTGTTAATTATCAGTATCATTAATTTTAAACGTCCCTATATACTATGTGTTCAAGTAAGTAAATCCAATAAATGGGCATTCGTAAACGGCAACCAAAATTTCAAAAATGTAACGAAATCCATATTTAGTTATATTTTTTAGATAAGGATCTTGAGATATTAATAAAAGGTAATGGAAGCTTTCTTGTAGGGAAAAAATATGTCTTTTAGAGTTAATAATCATAATAATAATCGCTATATATTAAAAAAGAAATATGGTTAAACACAAAATATACGATTTGTTTTTACTACACACCCTCTTTTATATATTTTCATATGCTCTGACAACTTTTGCGACAAGCAAGCCATCCTGTACATTGCTTTGCTAATCAATCAACCAAACTTCGAAGCGCGTTTTAAAATATTTTAATTGGAAATCGTGTCGGTTGACTAACAAATATCGAATATGGATATAAACAACTATTTTGTTGTCCTCTTCGAGATCTAATCCAGCGCAGCCGCCATGTCTGAAAACTACGCAAGTATGCCGGCACAGTGATCAATAAATTTTGCTAAAACGTAATAGTTTCAATGGGATAATAAAATGGAAATTATGTGAATAGTAAAAACCGGATGTTATCGCCAAACGTTAAACAAAATTTTAAAGTAGCGTTGTCCTCGTTTTGTTTTGCTCACTAAGGCGACATACAGGGTGTTTCACGACGGGTAATTATTAATTAACGCTAACGCTAACGGTTAACGCTTCTGTCTCACACAAAAAAGTAAACGTGCAACTTGGCTGAAAATGTGAACATATGTTAGGGGCATGTGTACGAACACAACAACAAAAATATGCACCGCAAGGGCTCTGAAGCTCGGAAAAGTTGGCCATTTAAATCACCCGGTACATCTGACTACTTTTTTCGTTACTTTCGAAAATCGGTGAACTCGAATTTTTCTAAAGTGTACGCGCTTGGCAACCAAACTGATATCTAGGGTTGGTACAGAAAAATAATTTTGTCTGTTCTCCGTTCTCTCTTCTCTTACGACGCTTCATAAAAACGCGAATAATTTGTCACCTTTTAAACAGACACATTAGCCTGTAGGAAATGGCCGCGATCAAAAATTGGCGTTTATCGTTTTTTCGCGATTTTGATCGATTTTGATCTGTTTATCGTACATTGCTATGAAACACGATAAGTGTCCGAAATTTGCAGCCATCGACTTCAAATTTGACTGACAAATAACAATTTTTTAAGAGGGGGGGGGGGGAGTCGGGAAGTATTTAAAAAAAAATAAAAAACGAATTCGCATGGTTTCGAGAAATGTGATTTTCTTTCACACGTATTTTAGGTTTTCCCATATTGTATCAAAACTTGCCAAGCATTTTTTAAAAATTTTTGAAAATTTTGTTTTTGTTATTTTAGCTTCCACAAAAGAACAAATTTTCTGGAAAACTATTTACTTGATCGGCAAAATTATTTTACCATGAGACGCCGAAGATCCGGTACTATAACTTTTATTTAAAGCATTTTATCGATTATGTACAGTGTTTTTCAATAAAATACCAAAATCTAAAAGATCCTGATAATTGTTCTTTCGCAGAGTAAATTATTAGCTGTAAATCAAAATTCCTAAAAAATATGACCAATTGGTTTAGACGGCATTGCAGACCGCATCAATAGCTATAATAATTTTGGTTTTTATCTATCACATATGCTGGTCGAAATATTTGAAAAAATCCATAGGAAAATCGCAATTTCTGGCACTCAATCTAGACGCGATGACGAAATTTTCTATTACGGTGTAATGCATGGTTTCAGAAAACAAGTTTTTTCTCGAAAACCAAAAAATTCATAGACCAGGAAAACTGGGAGATTCAGGGTTATAACATCAATATCGAACAATGTTTGCATTATATACAAGGTGTGTCGCTTATGGGCAAAAAATCTACAAGTTCCTAAAAATTTCCGTTTTTGTGGGTAAATTATTTGTGATAAATGAAAAACTATTGAAGATGGGATAATTTTATTCGAACAGTATCGTAAACTATGTAGAGAGACAGTTTTAGTTTTCGTCTATCATACAAGGTACACGAGATATTTAAAAAAATATCATTTGACATTGCAATTAACAGTATAAATTTTATATCAACCAAAGTTTGTCGTAATTTTGATGTTCCGAGAAATTATTACTATTAAAGTTAAATCAATTTTGCCAAAGTTGCGTTGTGGTCGGCAGGATCACGATAAAAAAACAATGCGTCCCTCCATCTAGGACAAAATAAAAAATAGGAAATACGAAGTATCGTAGTCACTTTGTAGACTGCGTTGCGCATAATACGGAACAGACGATTCGCACAGCCGCGATTTTTTGAAATCAATCTTGTAAAATTTTTGATTTATAAAGGAAAAATGAGAGCACCACTTAAAAATAATAGTATATTATGCAACAAATGTGGTAGTAGCATTTTATGCATTTTATGCATTAGTGCGGCAAACGGCAGTTGAGTCACGAGTTTATTTGGCACCACTGTTTTTCATAATTTTAACCTATAAAAGCTACTGCTAATTTATACAGAATTCGATAAAATATCATTCGGAATTTGAAGCTACGACATTGTCATTTGAAGCAGTGTCCCATTCAGTAGTTCTTCCAGTCTTTTGCCATTGTTGGATATAAGCTGGTGGTTTCTATATACAACTTTTATTTTTGCTTTGACAGCGTCACTTGATACCTGTAGAAAATGGAGCGGACCTACTTCAATCAGACAAGGTCAAGTCAACTTCATAAAGTATGCAGAAAGGGCGATAAGATATATCACGTCGATTCGGAACATATAACGGATCTGAGCAAAACTGCCAAGACAACAACGAAAAAAGTCCCGAGGAAGCCGTCAGATGAACCTTCCGAAACCGTGTGCAAAGTGATTTCCTTCGAACCTGCCGACGA